GCAAATGTACAACGTTTCGACAAGGTTTTGTCATCATCAGTGATGATGACAAAACCTTGTCGAAACGTTGTACATTTGCTGTTATATTAAAGTTTTTCTTCATTACCCATTCAAGCCGTCTCCAGCCATTGATAGGTTGTATGTTCTGTGTTTGTTTGTTGTTGTTGTTTTTTTTTGGGGGGGGGGGGGTTCTGAAGCATAAAGATCTTGATATCTTTAGTTAAACAGTGATATATTTTAAAACGAGCATTGAATTGAAACTTTAGTTTATTTTACAATTTCTTTGCATAACATATTGTATGTATTTCTGTGTTGTAGGTGGATGTTGCCTGGCACGGAATAATTTCAATTCGTTTTTTTACGAGGTGTACGTTATTCGTAACGAAGTAATTTTCGGCATTAGCATTTATTGTGTTCAAATTCCATATGTCCAAGATAAGCTCCAAAAATTTTTCCAACACAGCAAAATCTTTGTTTCCTGCAGTGTATTCAATTCATAACACCAGTATTTGTTTTGAGCAGAGACAACAGCAGAAAATGTAAACTAACTATAATTGGTTTCTTTTGGTCATATGATATAAAGTACATAAATACAGTTACTACATACATGAAAGATTTTTGTGAAATACTCAAAACGGATTCAAATCCCATTTCTTTAAGAATATATATAATATGTATATAGCCCATTAATAGGCGTATTCTAACGAACTCCAGTAAAATAACAACCAGTTAACATCGAGTTTAAACAATAAGCACGAGAGGTAGGTAGAGACAACATGGCTCGATTACGTTAGAACAATGGATTGGAGCTGATGAGATTGAATTTGGAAAGTTGATACAGGTTGCGAGGAATAAAGGACAATGGAGGGCCATAGTCGTCGACCCTCAGAACTAAGAAGGAAACCATGATTGACTGATTGATGTGCATTAATGGTTAAGGGAGGTTAATATTTGAATAAATGACCCTCCAAATATCACATTAAACGCTTATTATATTTTTAAAATATCGTAATTTTGTCTCTAAGTGCTTCAAAGCGTTTATGGCTGTTAGAGAAAACGAGAAAAATATGGAATTTCTAACAAATGTCATAATGGTTATTTATCAAAGTCGTTATAGTTACTTGGATATCAGGACTAAATGTATAACATAGAAGGAAAATATGTTGTGTACATGATGCAGAATCATAGAAAGTGCATTCCACCGGCTTCTGGAAATAGCACTAGGAGTGCCGCTCATGGTTATATGCAAACTAAAGGATATTGTTTGCAGAGCTCAGTCGCTGTACCATCAGATTGGATGAATACAGAAACAGTACCCTGGGTATACCGCATGCCTGGCAACTACACTTCCTTGACTAATGGTTATGGGTCTTTTTAAGGATGCAAGTCTATCACCACCACGCTTCCCTGACTGCTTATTAGAGCACTTTGTAAAGATTCGGGTCTTCTTTTTTTTCATAACCCAGAAACCATTTCTTAACTGAAAGATACCATAGCGACAAAGGTTCAGGTGATTCTTGGAGCCATAGTACGTGATACCATATCTAGTACCGTTTATGAAGATGGACGAAGTAACAAAAATGATATTAGAAACATTGAACAGTTATAATTGTAGCTTCCCCTAGTGCTATTTCAAAGAGAATTCAGTGGAATGTAACTGTCATGATTATACGTTACATGGGAGGGTTCGCTCTACAGGCTGTTCCAAGTACGCATATGCCACCTGGAGGGACAGCGGTAAGTCCACGGACTTACATTGCTAAAATCGGGTTTCGATTTCCCGCGGTGGACACAGCAGATAGCCCAATGTGGCTTTTCAAAAAAAAGAAAACAAACAAGTACGCATACCTATTTCACAATCATCATACATATTTTTATACTTTAGTACATATTATAAAATGTGGAATATATACACGTCTGTCATGTATTCTGAACGACTTCAGGCAATTTATTTAGTAATGGTAAAAAACCTCTGTAATATATGCGTAATGGCCCTCAACAACACCACAAATTAATTAAACAGAATGTTATATCCTTATTCGAATGATGAAAGCTCCGCAAACTAAACCTGAAAAGTGAAATTACAGGTCAACCGGAGGAAGAAATAAAACACAAAGTTATTAAATTAGCAGAATAATGTATACTTGTGAGCCAAAACAATGTATAATAGACCAATCTGGGACGACTCAAAGTATTCTTGAATCAAATCAATACTGACTTGTCTCCCAAACATTCTACTTGACTTTTAAACCAAAATAATTCATTTATGCATAGATTTTTGCACGAACTAACATTCTAGTCCTTTAATACAATCGCTTAGAAAAAGCAACACGACGGTAACGTGTTATAGTCACTATAGAAAGGCTACAAGATGGTCGTGTATTTAGTAGCTGGGTTTGATTTGTTGTGAACTTCATGTAAATATACTTGAGGGCTATCCGTGTTAGCCGTCCCTATCTTAACAGTGATAGACTAGAGGGAAGGCAACTAGTCAACACCATCCACCGCCAACTCTTGGGTTAGTCTTTTACCGACTAATAATGGGGTTGACTGTTACATTATAACGTCCCCATGGATAAAGGGCGAGCATGTTCAGTGACGGGAATTCGAACACGTGAACTGAAGTCGCTGGGAAAGATTACACGACGGTCTTGTATCATATTCTCTTTTGGAAAGGCTACAATATGGTCGTGTATTTAGTGGCTAGCAGAAGCTACAAGACGGTCTTGTACTATGTTTGCTTGGGAAAGGCTAGAAAATACTTGTGTATTATAATAGTCCATTGGGAAAGGAGACATGACGGTCATATATGTAGTCACTTAGAAATGGGAATGGCTACATGATGATCACGTATTTAGTCGCTTAGGAAAGGCAACACAACGGTCATGTATATATATATATATATATATAAATATTCTCAACCAAAACATATTAAATTGTATTTCTCTGTACATATAACATTATAATTACTAATTCGTCCTGAAGGCTAGAACGATCTTTCTTTTGTATTTTTCCCTGCGTTGTTAAAACTTCAAGCTATCAATGCGAACAAGTATTTCGCTGTCGCAAAATTTCAGAGTAAACCTAGACTTTTATCTTTGTTGAAGTAATGCAAGGTGTGTGATCTAGTAGAGCCGCAATAACCAAGGGGTGGGGGAGTTATAACCTGTCAAATACACGCAGTGACATTCCCCCGGGAGAGAGCGGTGGAGATCAATCAATACAAGTCTGAATAAAAATGTCCTCTGTATGGAAATTACATTCTAATCATAATTATTATTGTTGGTTACGTCACTGATAGCAACAGAAAATGTGTACTCACCCAAAACACTGCAGTTTTGACTTGAATGTTTGAGAGCCACGCGGTTTTGTCGAAATGCACTGACAGTTCAACTTATTGGAATGTCAGCGAAAACATTGAACAACCAACGTTCGTAACTGTTTTCTACTCGACGTAGGAGCTACGATTGCTGAAAGATCAAGCAAAGATAGGTTATTTAAAACGACTCTACAACCCGCGGATGTTCAAACGCCATCTAGTGAGGAAAACTGAGATGTCTGATTCTTGAATCAGAGAATCTAACACTAAAAACAATTTATATATATATATATATATA